CCAAATCCATACCACTTGATTCTCCCTATTATGTTCCACAAGGTTTTTCTCCAAACAGTCCCAGTCGGGGAACCTTTCTCCCCTTTCTCCTCATTTACAGCCTGAATTTTGAGTTCCTCGTAATATTTAATGACTGGAAGTGTATGTGCTACATTGTAGAACACAATGCATATGATCATGACAACAATCCCAACAACAAAGTAGAGATTTGCACTTTTTCTCAGACCCTGGACATCTTGTGGGTATACAGCTTTGGTTAAGATCCTCAGAAATGAAACAAGCACACCTACATTCAGCATTTGAAAAGTTAAAAAGTTTCTTTGGTTACCAATCACATAACTTTGACAACGGAATTCATTTAGGATGTTTGAGATTAATGGAAAAATATGCTTACAGCAGCCAGGTTTTTCAAATTACTTTAAAATACATGACAGATTATAAAACACTCGACATTTTTTTTGGTTATAAAACTGATAAAAGAAAGATTTATTGTAAATAATTATAATTTACATTATTATACATATAATAATTTACATTATTAGACATATTATTAATCTTAGGAGAATATCAAGAAAAAAGTTAAAAGTAAATTTACTAGTTAAAAAATAAAAAATAAAAAGTTCAAATATAGAGCTTATTTTCTACAATCATAAATTACTTTTAAGAATGTAATAAATACTCTACCCTTTTATGTTTTCAAACATAGAGATTAGAGCTGGAACCTCAGACTGCTTATAAACAACAAATAAGCAAAATCCAAACATCTTCACCCTGGCAGCCTGCAACTTTCAGTGATTAGCTATATCCACATAAAGCTCATTCAAGGAAATTGATTTCCAATCTGCTTCAACTCCCACTTACTCTTTTTATTTTTGCCTTGATAAAACCCTCTTTAATAAGACCTAGATTAAGCAGTTCTCCATGCTGTAAACCACTCTATTAAGTATCATTGACATCCATGTGAGTAACTCTATTACTGTTTCAAATGGTAAACTTTTGAAAGCCAAAGGTTTTTGGCTCAGCGGTGGACACTTTCCCTAGGGGCATGACGTAAGTTCAAGCATTGCTTATAACTCAATTAATATACCAAAACTGAAAAAGGAACCAGTAAAGTTTCTGATGATGGATTCAACCTCTGATAAAAAAACATATAAACACTTTGAAGCCGTTTCTTAAAAGAAACAAAAAAAAAAAAAAAAGAAACACCTTGAAGCTGTCGACCAAGATTCAAGAAAACCCATACGTGAAGTTCCTGAGGAGTACACAAGCACGGGAAGCATAACTGGTGTACGGATCCCATAATTCCACTTGGGAAGAAACTAAATTAGATTCCGCCAAAGTGTAACCCTCTGACCCAATTTCTCCAAAAAAGAAAAAGATCTAACAGGGTTAGCAACAGGATGTACAGTTTATTTTGGGTTGGAATAATCCAAACAAAGTTACATATCATACTCATAATACCTAAGTGAAATCTTAAACAGAGACCACCCAGCTGAAACTGCTTGACTTGAAGAGGGATCCCTCAGGAAAAGTCAAAAGGCTTTTTCATAATAATGCAGGTATCCAACTTTTGACCTCCCATTTGACGGTTAAGTTATTGAGTAAACTCAAAGGAAGCCAAAAGCACGCTCCCAAACTCAAAAATGGAAAATAATTCTCATACCAAATAAAAATGAAAATAAATATATCAAGTGGCCTGTAAATGGAAATATCATCTTTAATAAAATCAGATCTCAAAGATAGAAATTAGTTGAGAAAAATAGAAGACCTAAATTAGCAAATTCCGAAAGGAAACAGAAGAGAAAAAAGAAAAAAAAATGAAGAGAGAAAAAAACTTACCGGAGCCCGCAGTTCCCGCAACGACGGCCTGCATGTACCTTTCCGGCAGTTCACCGGCAGCCCCAATAAGACCGCCCTGCATCAACGCATCGGCCATACCCGAAAGCCCGACTGCTATACAGGTCACATAGAATCCGCTTTGCAACCCGACTCGACCCCTGATATAAACCACATCCATAACAGGAACGACAAGAAGAGCCACAACGAACAGAGCCAGGCCGATGTTGATGCGAACGTAAGCGCGGCTCTTGTGAGCGTAGAAGAGAATGATGATGAGAAGACAGATCAGAGCCACCAGCATGTAGACGATAGCAAAGCAGCGGTCGACGGAGACGTCTGGATAGAGGTAGGAGAAGTAGTCTACCGCGGTGATGAAGGCGTTCCATGGGAGCAGGAAGCCGACACCTAACGCGAAGTAGATTATGTATGCAAAGTGAAAGGAGTCTTTTGGGATCTTATGGGCGGCTGTGGTCGTCGTTTGAGGGAGGAGGAGGAGAGAAGATTCAGAAACGGATTCGGGTTCGGATCTTCCATCGGTGAGACCCATTGGATGTGGTTTGTTAGGAAGAAGCTTAAAAAATGCGCGATGATTACGCGTTGCGTGTGCAGATGTGGTAGTGGTTGGTTGAAGATACAGACATGGGGTTCAACGGTCAATTTCGTCTAAACGGCGTCGTTTATAATTGTCTTTGAGTGAGAAACGAATCTCGTCATTTAAAAAAAAAATCCGTTTGAGATCTTGCATGATTCTAAACTAAGTTTAAAATAGATTTTTTTTATAACACTTAATTCAGATATCATAATATATAAAAATTAATTTATATATTATTTTTTTTCAAATATTTTTATCCAAAAATTACAATATTTATGTTGTTAATGAATTCCATAGTTTTTTTTTTCTTTTTGTGTAATTCTTGATTTTTTATTTACTAATCATAAACTTATAATTTTTTGACATCATTATTTTATATATTTAGTTTTTATTTACTTATCATAAACTGTTAATTAACAGTTGAAATTCCAAATCTTGATCAAAATGTTTTTTGTTTTTAATCATAAATTATTTGTCTGTTTTTTTATTTAGTTTTTATTAAAATCCCAACTTATAATTATTCTTTTTATTTTTTTAAGTCAAACACTTTTTACTTGTTTCTAAAAAAAAAAAATATCACAATCTTGATAAATTTATAAATTGCACCAAAATATCATCTAAAATAATTCAAGTCAGACCTCTTATTAAACAATAAATTTAATAAATGTTTTCATGTTATGTAGATTTAAAATTAAACAAAACATGGGGGTATATATTTTTATTTGGTTCTCTCTCCCAAGATATATATATATATATATATATATATACGTATATCTTCCCCTTCAACCTTAAAGATTAAAGATCATCAAATATAGCCAATGTCAAAATTATGCCTCTTTACAGTGCTCATGAAGTAAATTGTCCCTACGTTATATGAATAATGAAAATCAGACTCCAACTTTCAGTCTTCTCCATCTCCATTATCTTTTCTCATTCTACTGTAATTCTTGAAAAGAGTGACAAATATACTGTTGCATAGGCTATTTTGTAGTTTATTTTTCAGATCATGTCTGTCAGGTCCATAGCTGAAGGAAAACAGTTTATCTATATGCCTTGGCCAAAAGCATTGCCGTCCTCTGTAGCATATGTTCTTGCTCTTCTCAGCGCCGTTGATTTTGTTCTTTTCAGACTTCAGGTGCCTAACTGCATCCTCGATATTCAGTTATCTTCTACGAATGTCTCAACCTGTGAATTGGGCAACTATGGCAGTCTTATCAACAATTGTTGTGCCATAGCTTTTGATGAATATTTGTACGCGTTGGGGCGGCAAGCCAACCTAACTGGACAAATTTTGTTGCATTTGACAGAGAAAAATGAGTGTTTAACATCAATGAAGAGAGCTAGTGATGATGTAAAGGGCTGTGGCGTTGAGAAGCTAACCAGTGGACCTGGTGGCTGCAGTGACTATACTGATACGGATGTTGCTAATAAGCTAGGAGTCAGGTTGAGGAATTTTGGCCAAGACTGTAGAAATTTAGGCATAACAGGGGGACTAGATGGCGACTGCGATAGATGCAAGAAAAGGTGGGGAGAGATCAATGGAGTATCAAGCGAAGAGATATCATCTTCAGAGGATGTCGCTTATGTTTATAGGTTTTCGGTTCTAGTGTCAATGATTAGCAGTAGGATTGATGATGAGAGATGGGTCTATTCCGTTTTCAAATGTCTGAACGAGCAGAAATTAGGTGAAGTAGATCGCTAATTTGCAAATATTTTTGAACATATTATTCTGAATCTTACTTTCACTTTTATTGCTAAGATGATTAATGGAATGACATGCTAAGCTCTTTCCTTTTCTTATTTTCAGATCAACATGGTGGAAAAAGAAAGGCAAGCACAGGTGATGGTTTGTACAATTGGTGGAAAAAGAAAGGCAAGCAGAGGTGATGGTTTGTACAATTGGCTTGTCTGATTCTCTTTCTTTTTGATGTTTATGGTTTTAGTCCATATCGTTTGAATAATTTTCTCAGGGCTGTGAATTCTAATAGGGTGCTTTTGGGAATTATAGCACTAGCAGGCATTTCTATATGCATCATATTCAGGATAAGAAAGGGGGAGAATCCCAAAACTGGAAAATATGGTACATTTTTTTTCACAATATTATGATCCGTCTTCGTTGATTGCTTCTTAAATTATTCAATTCAGACTTTGCCATTTCACCTTGCGGCATCAGATGCTTCGTTCTCGTCCAAGGAGTCAGTTTCTCGTAAGATGTCGCTTAAATAAGTCTATTCCTCTACAAACAATCTGAACCCATCAAACTTCATCGGGCAAGGAATAGCTGGTAAGAACTCATATGCAGCACTATATCTAGGATCAAGGATCAATGAGTGAAAGACCATTTTGGTTTGTTTTGCTTTTCAACCCGTCTGTGCATTATGATATCAGGAAAGGTGTATAAAGGGTTACTCTCAAATGGTCAGCATGTTGCTGTCAAGCACATAACAAAAGTTGGAGAAATGGAGACATTTGTCAGGGAAGTTAGAAGCCTATCTCATGTCAGACATCCCAACCTTGTGGCTTTGCTTGGTTACCGTGAGAAAGAAGATGAATGCTTTCTAGTTTACGAGCTCTGCCACAATTGAAATCTCTCAGAATGGTTGTATGGTTTGTTCCCCAAATTCACACCACAAAATTTCCATTTTCATTTTACTTACCTGGAGGCTTCTTAATGAAGATGATGAACAACAGGTAAAGATAAGAGTTCTTTCTTGGATTCAAAGATTAAGTATAGCAATTGGTAGCACCAGGGGTCTCTGGTTTATCCATATATATTCACAAGGTCGGATTATTCATCGTGATGTCAAAGTAAGGTTTTTCTTTTTTGGAAACTAAACTTGTAATTTATCAATACTGAGTTTGTTCTGATACCAGTAAGCTTCAAATTTATATCACGAACAAGCAGAAAAAACTATCCTCATTAACCCAAAAACAAGAAGCTAGAAATATATGCAGCCTAAACTTTCTCCCCAAAAAAACCACATTTCAGAACCTACAAAATTTCACCACTCACTATCAATAATTATCTTAAAAAAGAAGACAGGTTACGAACAATCATAAGGAGTCTAAACCTAGGAGGAATTAGCCAAAACACAGCTCAGCTTCAAATGGCAGTCTGCTCGGCAAACAAGAAAAAATAAGAACCTCTAACCATGCAACCATACCAAGTGAAATCCTCTATTTTTCTTTTAGCTTCTAATCGCTTTACCTTACCACTAATTGTTTTCTCTGATTTTCTTACAATCACCTATACTTTTTTTTTGGTAGCCAACAAACATTCTCATCCCTGCTGATTTTCAAGCAAAGCTTTCAGATTTTGGGTTGGCTAAAGTTATGAACATAGTCAATCTTATGTGAGCTCCGAAGTGAGAGGAATATTTGGTTATGTCGATCCCGCATCTAGAAAAAATCACCATGTAAATGCTTCAGGTGATGTTTTGGCATAGTTCTTCTACAACTCATCTCAGGACAGAGGGTAATCAATCTGTATTTAAGTAGATCAATGCCCTTAAATCAAATGATGAGGGACAAATTTGCCTCATATATAGATAGATATCCATCTACTGCTTCTTTTATATTCTAGCACATCGTTCGAAATTCTAATTCTCAGGCAAAGCTCTTTACAAGAGCCAGTAACATGGCAGAGTTTGCTGATCCTAAACTCAATAGGGAGTACTCAATGGAAGCCTTTGAGCTTGTATTAAACTTAGCCTTGTCATGCACAGGACTCAAACAAGAAAGACCATCCATGGCAAAAGTAGAATTAAAACTAGAAAAAGCACTTGAAATGTCAATGCAAATGAATTCATGTGTAAATTCTTGATAGATAAAAAAATGACAGGAAAAGAAAGAGCAAAAATTGTGCTTGTCAGTTGAGTCATCGGTTTCATTATAATATTCCTGATAATTGTAGGGGGTTTGACTTTTAATCATACAGGGGGTGAAGACGATGACATATAGCTTTAAATGCTTGTTCGTACAGGATAGCTTGCTCGAAAGCTTCATTCAGTGATTGTGGTTCCTGTAATATCCGAGCCCAAAATTTGGTCCGGGATCAATTTTGGTAATTTAAAAATAAATAAAAAATTTATTTATAAATTAAATTAAATTAATTTTGTTAAATTATTGAAAAAATAGGTTAGAAATGTAATCAAAAATAATTTTGAGAAAAAGGGATAAAATTTGAGTTCGAGAGATGTTTTTGAAAGAAAAATTAAAAACAAGGGGTAAAAATGCGAAAAGAGAAAATTCAGCCACGTAGGACAACCCAATCAGCAGCCCCGACGAACCGGAGCACGCTGCGTGACAAAACACACTGACGTCAGCACTAACAAATTCGCATGCCCAGCAATCGGACGGTCCAAGATTGATCTGACATGCGTGGACGGCTCAGATTCGTTCATTCCTTAAGCGTAATCGGACGGACGAGATTAATCGGGATGAACGATCCAGATTCGTTTCCTCCTTAGGCGTGATAAGATGGACGAGATTAATTGTGATGAACAATCCAAATCGATGTGAGATGCGTATAAATACTTTGCATCACATGGAAATCCAAACCCTAGCATGGCACCTTCGCCGAAGAAGAAGAACCAGGCGCCGGATAAGGAGGCCAGCCACCGACCACCGCCGCACCAGAGCCACCTCTAGCTGTCAAAAAAGGTAAAAATTCCTCATACCTGCTCAGAATTCAATTTCAAGCATCCCTGTGACCAAATCGGAATAAGAGGGACGTCGGGTGAGCTGAAAATCGTGAGCAAAGTTCGGCGGAGCCACCGTAGCCAAAACTAAAAAATTCCTCTGATGAGCCCCTTCCCGCTTCCCGTTTCATGCAATTTTTTAGTCATTATATTCACCGTCCTTTTCTGTGCAGATTAGTCGAAAAAAGAATTCTAGCCGCGAAGGAGGACTAGCGGAGCCACTGTACCTGAAGGTCCCCATCCGCTGGTAGGTTCGATTTTTATGATTTCTCGGTCAACTAAGGGTCCCTAATGTGTTTTTCTACAGGAATATGTGCA